CGCCCCCACCAGGAGCAGTACCAGGGGAAAGAATCACTTTTGAAGGTTTTCCTGGTAAGTAGGTAGTTGGGAAAATTATAGAAACAAGTATGCCAAGGTAACCTCAGTTTTGAAGCACATAAAACAGCTTTTTTTAAAGCTGGTTGGGTTTTTTGTTTAAATTTTCTGAATTAATTCTTAGTTTTAATTTTTTTATTATTATGCTAATATTGTGTAAATAAAGGATTGATAATACTTTTTCATCTGTCAAAAACTTGTAATTTGACAAAGTTGTGCAGAGCTTTAAGTCTCAGTAAGTATTTCAGTTTTGAAATATATGGATAAACATATTTGTACTCAGCAAATGACAACAAGCAAATGTAAAACATCTTTCACAGTGTTTCAATATTGAATTCCTATTTCCAGCTCCTCCCTGTAATGAAAGTGTCAGAACTTTGAGTAGAATTTTTTTTTTTTTTTTTAAGGAAAAAGGGATGGAGGGGATAGAAAGGATTGGAAGTCTCCTATTCATGAGAGGAGCCTGCAATATTTGAAATACCAGGGTATTTTTGTTTGTTTGTCTGGGACAAAATGTCTTTTTAGGTTTCCAAAGAGAGATATTGGACTTAATAAAATCAACAAATCCAACTTTTTTCAGAATATAAATGAGAATTTTACCAAATTAAACTTTATCAAAAGATAATTTTTCATCCATTTTTCAGTTTCTTCCACCTTTATAAAAATAATTAATTTTTGACTGCATATTGGGAGCTCAACTAAAGCATCAGGTTTATCATCATAGGTTTTCATGTTGATGAATGCTTCCCTCCTACCCAAATGCCAGTTCATTATTCTCAGTCTGAAAGGGATACAGTCAGATCAGCTTCTTCTGCTGCTGTATTTATTAGCACTGTTATTTTGTTATTTTTATAATGGCTATGAGTGTTTTCATCAGGTTCATTATGATACCAGAAGAAAAAGCACTCATGCTCTAAAGTGCCATTTAAAATGCTGTCTATTAGAGCTGAGTCTGAAAAGAGAGATTAGTATAAATAATTTTTACTCATTGTGACTGTCAATCAGAAAGTTTGTGTGAGGACTTGGTGCTGCCCTGTTCCATAAAGGTGAGGACATGCAGGTGGCTCAGTTGCTGGTGCCACATGGGAACTGCCCATAGACTCTTTTCTTACAATCAGCTGCCTAGGTTTATCCTGCACCCTAGGAATTTAAGAATTTGTGCAGCACAGCCCAAGCCCAGGTCTACTCAAGTCAGCTGTTAAGTGGATCTCAGAGGTCTTGGTGAGCAGTGCTCTTCTGGTCAGGATCACTCCATCACTTAAACTTGAGAGCATGGTCCAACTTCCAGTATTTCCCACACTGGGTGGAAGTGTATATGTGTGCATTTATCAATGAAGTATTCATCTTCAGAATGAATTTATTGTTCAAAAGTTGGCTTTCATGTGGGAGAAAATGGTGTAACTTTTATTTTCTGCACAGAGCCAAATGAACCTTTATAAACTATTGCACTTTTGACAATTTCTAGCTATACAGCAGAGTTTTGCTTTATGAACCTCTTGGCAAGCTCTATGCTTAAACATATTTGCACGAAATACTTTTCAGAAATACTTATGTATGTATATATGTATATTTATACTTCTCAAGAGTGAAATTGTGATACTTTTAAAAAAAAGATATATTTTGGTTACAATATGATAAAGGAAGCAATGCTCTTTCTAGGTGCTTTATGGAACAGAAAAATAGCTCAGCTTGCTGTGATTTAATGCTCCAATTGAAAATAGTTTAAAATAATACTGTTTTAAAAGGAAATCAGTCTGGCAGCATTTTTTTTTTCAGTTTTAGTTTCCTGTATTAAAAATATACCTAGCTTGCTAGTTGACATGCAGACTTTGTTAGCTGTACTGAAATCTTAAATGCTTCAGCAATCAATTGCATTGATTAAATTGTAGGAATACTCATTCATGGCTTCTTGTTGTTATCACATATTGTTGGAACTTTGTTACCTGCAAGAATCACACTTTATCTGCTATCTGCTGCTGTGGAAATGGATGTGCAAGAGTGCATCAAGTTGCAGAATAAACACTTCTAGTGAATAAGCCCTGGAAAATGATGTACAGGTTCACCCCTCAAAAATGCTCTTTGCCCAGGTTGAAGGTCTTCTATTGTTTGCTTTTGTCTAAGATACAGCCTTCTGTAGGGAGCGCTGCCTGCTCCAGGATGGTTTGGGTGAATGGAGACGAGAGATCTCTCAAGGCTGCTCTTGGGATATGAGGTTTATTGGGGATGCAGAAAGGTCCTGCCTCGAGCTGCCAAACGCAGCACGTGGCGAGGCTTGAGGGGATGGAGGAGGGGAGAGACAAAAGGATGCTCTAGGAGAGGGTAAGTTCCAAGAGAGGGGAGGAAGTTCCAAGAGGCCATGTGGCCCCTCGAAGCCCCCTTTTCAAGGGGCTTCAGGGTGGGCTGGAACAAGGCTCGGGCCAATGGGGTTACAGGCACTTGATGTTTTAGGGGAGGGACAGAGGTGCGGGGTGAACCATACGTTTTAGGGGGTGAGATGGAACAGTCCATTTGACCCCTGGACCCATCCATAGGCAAGGGCATTGTCCGGCTAGCAGAGAGGATTTTTTTCATCCTGGCTGTATTATTTATGAATAATTATATTTATCTATCCTTCCCAACAGCCTTTCTCCAAACTTACATCTCAAGTAGCTTCATCTACCTGGCATTTGAAAACGTGAGAGCTGGTAGTAGCACTGTTTTCTGTTCACCAGCGTAGCTGTTCTTGCACATGACTGGTGAAATGAGTTCTATCAAAATAATTTAACTGTTTGACTCCAGTTGTTTGGGTTTTTTACAGTGGCAGAAAGCTTTTCGTAGAGCAATCAGTTATATAAATGTTTGTTCTAAAATTATTACCAGGTGTTATGGTATGCAGACACCATGTTGACATTTTGTTCCTTAAAAGACATAGAATAAGCTAAAGGTGGTATGTAAATTGTTCTAGTTCTGAAGTTACGACTTGTAGCCAGTGAGACAAGGTTTTCTGTGCATTGTATCAGTTTCCTTCAGGTGGAGAGCCAAAGACACAGGGCTCTGGTAAGTGCCATACGAAGGTTTTTACAGCTCCTTTGCTAGGTGTATGCGTGCAGGGCTATAGATTGTAGTCTGAAATGTGGCACTATATTCTAGTGTTTCATAAAGAGCTGCTTGGAAAATTTTGTAGGTAAGAGATTTAAGCTAATCATTGACTTTGAAAATTTACCTAATGCTTAATAGTACAAAATGGGGTGATCTATGTTCTTCTTACATAAAACATTTAAAAGAATTCTCAGACTTGTGATTTTGCTATCTTGAGTAGGAAGATGCAAAAGAAAACATTGGTAGATGGAGACCTACAAAATCATAGTGACATCTGCTTCTGTAAATTTTTTTGTTGAGTACTCGTCTTTTCAATGTTGCTATTGTAAACTAAGTCAGGGGGAAACTCACTGTGAGACTGGAAAACTCTTTCTCAGTTTTTAATGGGGTTGAACATCTATCTTCTACTCACCTTTTTTGTGTTAAAACCTTCTGCTCCTTTGCTGTTGTTGTCTCCTCAAAGACCATCTGGCACTTGCCTTATGCTGTTACCAGGAGGATAGACTCCTTGTTGTGTCAGATGTCATTTAATTTCACTGCTTAATTGTAACCATTTATATTTTGATCAAATTTTTGTTTTAAAAAGTAATTGTAAAGCATAAAGATTCAGTTGGAGTCCTTGAAGTTAAAATAGAAAGGACAGCTGGGTCTTATTTAAGTTTGAAGTATGCAAGTCTGTGAAATAACAGAAGCACCACCAGCAACAATAAAGCAATTCTAAAATGCACACAGCTGTCTATCAAGCAGCTTGGAATTGAGCTATTTTTAAGTCTTCTCTCTCCATTACACAAAATATTCATGAGATACATACTAATTTTCTTTGGCCGTTTTAGTCAAAGTAAACAAATGGTATCTTGTCTCAAACCACTTAATTTTTTTTTTTCTGTAGCAACTGGTGTGTTTACCTAGAACTATTCCGAGTGTTATAGAGGAGTAATTTGATCAGGAATGCTGTTGCCTAGAGTACTGTTCTGTTTTGTTTATTTATTTGATGTCTTTGCCCTCAGTGGAATTCTTAATACTGAAGTGTTTTATACTCCAGTGCATGAATCTTCAAAGTCTCTTGAGCCTTTTTTGCATTAAGAACTTTATCAAATTTTTATCCATCTTTACTGGAAAGATTTTTAAACCATAGAACAATTCTTCTATCATGTGTGTGTAAATTCTATAACCTTCTACACAGTAATTGCCCTAAGAGAGCAATAGTACTTGAAGATTTATAGCTGTGAAATCTCTTTTCTGATAGAAGTATTAGATACTTTGATGCCACGGGAACCAAAAAGCTGTTACTTAAATTATATAATTAAATTATCATTCAGGTCTAAGAATCACTAGCAATTTAGTGAATTATTATCTCTTTAAAAGAATTAAAAAGTGGTAAAGCTGGAGTGTAGTGGTTAGCCTGTAGTTAGCAGGTTTTTTCAATCAAAGCTAGAGTGTATGAATGCTTTCCTTCAGCTGCATGGTTACAATCCACTGTGGGGTAAGTGGCATTAAGTAAAGTCACACATCACTGTGTCCTTTTGCCCCTTGCTGTGCTGAGATACATTCTTTCAGCAGTTTTTGAACTGTTACGAAGTGGAGAGGTTTCTTGCTTATTATGAAATTTTTTTGTAATAAAGCTGTGAGATGGAATGATATGTTTAACAAAATTTGGGACCTTTTATTTGCCCCATTTTTGGTGAAGAGAGTGGAAAGCTGATTAAACCATTAAAAGCTTCAATTTATTTTATTTATAGAAACTCTTCTAAAGAATATTTTCTGGGAAGAAGGAATGTAGTGAGGAGAAGGCATAGGAAAATGCACAGCCTAAAGCTCTGGTAGTATTTAAAATTGGTGCCTATGTTAATCTAATATGAGCTCACCACAGATCCCAAGGGAGCTTGACGCAGGATTCCGAAGAAACTTATTAACATCCAAAGTGTGTGTTTTATAATAAAAGTCAGGAGGTTTTCTTCCTGAAAGAAAAAATCATGTGCTTTTTATATTTGACATGGGGAAGGAAAATGTACAATAGAGCTCTTAACATTCTGTTTAATGATTTTATTAGTTTCTATGCATTCACTGTGGTCTAAATCCAGGTTTGGTCTAAATCCATGAACCTGAGCATTAAGCTAATTTATTTTTGTGAAAGTGCACAATTAGCTCTAAACATTTAATAATTTTTATTTAACAGTGCAATTATTTAAGTAATTACAGTATTTAAATTTATTCCTCTGTTTAATATTAATTATAAATATTATATAAAGAAAATTATTCATATTATGACGATTTTTCTTTTAAATACTAAATGCACTCTGGTTGTGAAATAACTTGACTGCCTTATTAAATAGTGCTTTGGTAAGGCTAGCTTACTTCACAGAGAAATCTGGCCTAGTCTGCTTCTCTTGCATATATAGAAACTACAGAATACAGACACCCAGACACTACAGAATAACCATACAGACAAAAATAACCCAAGTTTGCAGGCATTGAGAATGTGAGTAGGCTGAACTGTGGAAAACATTAAAAGGAGAATACCAATAAGGCATAAGGCAGGCTGGAATGAGAGTAATTTGTTTAACCACTGGTTGGTCAGTCAGTCAGGACTTAACCAAGCAGTAATGAATTTCAACCAACTACTGGAAGAAGATATGTTAAAATCCCTGTAGTCTTACAGTTTTTCTTCCTGAACCTTTGGGAACTTTGTAGTGTAACACTAGGCTTTCTGCTCCCTTGGAGGGCTCTTCCTCAGAAAGGATCTCAGAGAGGATATGATTCCTAGGATTTGGGTTTTAATTCTTGCTTGTTCTGGAACTTTTGATTTTGATAGTTTGGGCAATATGGCACTACAAGGAAGTAAAAACATATAGTGAGTGTAACAACAATGAAATAGCCTGAGATTTCTTTGAGCATTTAAATCTGCAATTCTTGTGGGGTTTTTAATTTGTCTTACCTGTTTGACACAAAAGAAGTCAAAAGCACCCAACAATCTTATGATTAAATTCTTTTTAATGAAATTTTTAATAGAATCTGTATTGTATTAGAATTAAGAGATTAAAATTAGTTTACTTTTGAACAGAAAATAATATTGCAGTGAGTTGGCTGCCTAGTTTTATCTAGATTATGTCAATAGTCAGCAGTTAATCTTTGTGGCAAAATTAGTTATCTTTTATTGTGTCTGTACTTTGCATTTCATGCTACTGAAAAATAGAAAAAATATCCTTCACTATGCTATCTAATTTGTTGACAATATTTCAAAACATTAATAGAAGAAGCCTGCATTTTGTGGTCATTAGAAATCCTTGAATAATCAGATTTGCTAATGTCATTAGTCACTGTCTATACCGTTAGGGTGTAGGTGTCTCATCTTGATGTATCCATGAAAACAGGAAACTGAGGCTTATCAAGACTAAGGCTGAAACTCTTAATTGCTGAAACTCTAGTTAATTTCTACTGCTTCTATTGTTTTGAGCACCAGAGCTTTCCATCAAACAATACAAAGCCTAACAGAACAGTGTGTAACTTGGGGCTAAAATTATATGTCAATATTCTCACTCTGGACTATTCTTGTCTAAGTTCAGTACTCCTCAACTGTAACAGCATCTGGTGAATGCGTTTAATTACTTATGAAAACATCATTAATTTCTAAAGTTAAGATGCTGACAAACCTGTCTTGGTGAACAGTGTACTTCTGTGGTCCGTATGTACTTAATTCTTGGGAATTCTTTTGGTCTGTAGGATAAACTAACAGCAGTGGTTTAATTTCTTCCTTTTGACAGTGCTTGTTGTCTGATACAACCCTTTTACCTTGAAAGATTTTCTTTTTCAGAAAGGTTCTGGAGACATTTCCTAGACAATTCTTAATTCCAATTAAAGTTTTCATTTTGAGAATCGAAAGGAATGTTGGGGGTTTTTTTTCCCTTAAAAGTGTGTGCAGTGATGCTCTGTGGGTTGTCATAGGTGTGTGTAAGTACACAGAGCTCTTGCTCTGAGTTGTGTGCTATGAGGTTATTCTTTGTTTTGAAACAGGAGATCCTGAGAAGGAGCTTAATCCAAAGAAGAAGATGTGGGAGCAAATCCAACCTGATCTTCATACCAATGACCACTGTGTTGCTACATACAAAGGAGTTCCATTTGAAGTGAAAGGGAAAGGAGTGTGCAGGGCAGAGACCATGGCAAACAGCGGAATTAAATAAATGGTTATTAGAAACTTCTACAGACATTGAAGTGAAAAGTTGATGCAAGCACAATAAAAAACATGAAATGCATGGCTAAGACCTGTTTTGTTTGACTTCTTTTCCATAATATGTTACATCTTCAATATTTTGACAATTCACTCATTCACTAGACTTGTTGTCCTTGAGGTTGTGTGCTGTCAGCAGTTATTAACCACTCAGTGCTCATAACTTAATTGCCAAGGCTTGTTTGTGGTGGGACCACAGGCAGGCAAGTCAATTTTCTGGACAGCTTGAAGGTGTAGAGCTTCTATTTAGCAAGAGCTAAAGGAAATAAGGAAAATATTTTGCCATGTTCTTTGTGTGCTAATTGCAGGGCTAGCAGTTGGTTAGTGAAGACCACAATTGTCTTTATTCTTCTAGTCACTTTTTAATAGTTTTTCTGCTCTTCTTCCAAGCAGTTTTCAGATGTATTGTAAGCCTCTGCACCTTTGTTCTTGCCTGTGTTCTCTCTGTAGTCTGCAGTCAGTTGTAACTGGAAGATTAAACTGTGGGGGTTTTCGCCCTTGAATGTGCAAGTGGACGCACTTTCATGTCCTCACAACTAAGCCGTTACAATTTCATTAAGATTATATTATATTATATTATTAATTAATAACAGATTTCTGGCACTAATCAAAAACTAAAAAAACCCCTCAAACCCCAAAAAACCAACCTCCAAAAAAAAAGCCCAAAAAGCAACCAACCAAAAAAAAAAATCCATTTCCAATGTTCAAACAGGTATAAAATTGATTTTTTGGTTTTGTTTCAATGTGCTTTTATGCAATGGTATTTTATATGAAAACTGCTTTGGTTTTAACAGAAATAACTTCTTTAATTTTTAGAGTTAGAATTATTTCATAGTACTGTTGTAGAAATAGTCATGTTGCTAGGCTATTAGCCTCAAATTAATTTTTTTAATTCTTTACTTTGAGTAATATGAAAATAAATGTTTTGGATCCATTTACAATAACCCTTTAAAGTAACTATATAGAGATACTTCAGATATTTTTGCATATAATATTAAATTAAATTGTTGCTGTATAACCATTGAAACAGTAAATACTATTTTAACTACTGAATCTAAAAAGAAACTTGAGCCTTTCTAAATTTTGCAGGCTTTGAACTTCATCCAGTAAGTGGAGAGAAAACAAAATGATAGTGATATAAAATTAAAAGGAACACACGTAAAGAGGAGATGAACTGATTTTCTTTTTGAATGAGGTTTGTTTTGTGCCTGTAAACTGCTAGTTTTTCATGCATATGACAATAAGCAATAGTAATTAGTTCTTTTAAATGTGCTGAATAGCATTAGGCACATGGAAGCCATTTTATCTGCCTTGTAAACTGTATGTTCTATAATGTCTTATTAAATCATTGTAGTTCAAGAACTCAGTTATAACTAATCTTGAATCACAGTAGGGAATACTTTTACAACAGACAAATCTTAGCTTTTAGTACCAGAAAGCTCCTTTTTAGAAATGGAAGTTCAGAGGAACTTCTGAAAGCGTGAAGAATTGAGCAAAGAATTCCCCTGAGTCTGAACTCATGCTTTTTTTACTTCCTTTTTTACTTTTTTTTTTCCTTTTTAAATTTTACTTTATTCTTCCAGATCTGTATTCTGTCTGAATTTGGATATACAGTCTGGTGTAATATAAAATCCCATTTGTAATTACACACATATTAGGAGCGTGATTTTGGAGCACTAGCTTGTTCTGATTTTGTGGTTGAACCTAGGATTCTGAGTGCAGTAGTGTGAGGCACTTTGTGGAAGGTAAGGAGTTTCATAAGCTAAAGAGATTTTTCTAATTGTGTGTTCAAAGGTGTTTGGTATGGATGTGGAGTTTTCCAGTTGATTGCTTTTACTCTTTAAAAAGTAACAAAATGTAGGTAGCATTTCTATTAGATGTTACCTACTGTAGAAAAGAGACGAGTGAGCATCTTAAAGCTAATTTTATTCCTTCCTGTGCTTAAGTATTTGATAATTATTTCTCTGTATAAAATTCAAGAGCTTTCTTAGGACAGTATTTCTTTCTTCTTTAATTATGCTGTTGTGGTTGTCTAAGAAGATGTATTTATGCTGTACTGAGCTCAAAAGTGACAACAGGGTACTTGAGGCACTGTGCAAATATGTTTCCTCACTGTATCCAGCCTCTTCTGCCTTGTCTGCATGAGTAAGTAGGATTGCAGTGAAATCCTTCCATGTGGGACCCAGAAGTTCCTGTAATGAAAAGAGAATCTTACCTAGTTATCTCTTATTTCTTTTCCTCACTCCCATTTCATATACTTAGTACATTACCAGACTATTTACATGTATGGGTTTTTTTTCCCCTGGCAGTAATCCAGTTCATGCTATCCGAGTTTCTGAAATTTCTGGGTTGTTTTTCACCTTTCCAAGACATTGACATCCACTTTCAGTGGAAATATGTGGTCATGCAGTACTAGTAGTTCTATGTTCCCTGGCTACAGATGTTAATAGAACATCTCCAGTTAAAAAATGTTCATGGAAATAAGGAAAAATGGTTGTTTAGCCATGTCACACATTAGTTGGAAATCAGTAGTTACCACATATCCATATTGTTGCACTGTTTAGAGCTCTTCAAAAAAATTTTTTTGAAAGCACTGAAGCACCTTTTGTTGAAAAATAAATGATGACTTCCTATGTAACATCAACCTCAGTTCCAGTCGTGATCCATAAAGCTGAACTATTCTCAGCGATTCAGGAAAAACACAAATCTAATGCAACACCTTAAATAATGGGCCAGAGAGCTTTTCTTCAACTTCTGTGATTTATCTGATGGGGGAGAATGGAGAGAACAAGCTGTTTTTCTTTCAGAAATTACATAAAATTTTAATAGGAATAAGAGAGGTTGGGCTTTAATTTACAGGTGTAAATGAAATTACAGCTTTGGTGCAATCCTGCTAACTCCTGTATATGACAAGCCTACCTTGGTGATAAAGGACATTGCAGTGATCTTGATTCTGTAATCTAAATGCTAAGGTATATAAAACTACTTTAAAGGATGTCTGTCTACTTTCAGGGTAAGTGGGGTGTTAAAAACCCTGGTGTATTGATAGTGATTAATCTGTTTTATACACTAGGGATGAAAAATACCAAACATACAATATTTTGCCTTAAGCTGCCCAAGGAATTCTTGAGTTACCAGTTTTAGAAAGAGAGAGGAGAGAGCTTTGATTTGCTGATGACTCAAAATCAGTTAGTCTTTGTTCTGATATTAGTTTCTGCCACTCATAACACATTAGGCTGTTGTAGGAAAAAGAAAAAATCACTTTTGCAGTCAACTCTGCTGTAGCTATTGTCACCTGAAAATGAAAGAGTTGCTATCAGGGCAGAGAGTTCTACTTTTTTTTTTTTTTTGGTTACCTGGATGAGCTGAACTGTGTCATCGCTTTCATGTGGACACAGAGGCAGGTCAGCCCTCAGGACCAAGAGGGCCAAGTGCAAGCCTTCCTCCCCGAAGTGCTGAGCCAGGGCTGCTCTCACCGTGCCTCTCACCTGCTCTTTGCCCAGAGCACTGTGGGGGTAGCTGGGGGTGTCCAGGACCCGAACGCGGAGAGCGCACTCGCGCCCGTTTCTCCGCATGAGCCCCAGAATGCGGCCGCTGCGCCCCAGGCTGCAGCGCGTCGTCACAGAGCTGGGGCAGAGACGGCTCTCAAAGTCTGCACTGCCCAGCAGGCTGTTCCCAGCAGCACTTTTGCCAGTCTGAGTTTTTCCAAGGACAACAAGGTTGATGGTCATCTCACTGCTGTCTGCCATTGTCTGCGCTTTTATCCACAAACCTGTCAGTAAGTACAAATAACATCAGGTGCTTCAGATAACTTCGGGGGGTGAGGGGAAAGAAGAGGCAACAATTTCCAATATTCAATGTCTTGAGTTTTTCTCTGCCTGAAATGTGAAAAGAGTCTTAGGAAGAAGCAAAACAGTGTTGTCGAGAGGCAGCAGAGAAGAGAGGATTTGGGAAACAACTGTGGAAAACACTGTTGCCATTCTGGGACAGTAGTAGGTTAGGAGAAGGAGATAAACTAGGGAAGGAAGAAGAGAATGGTGACAAATAAGTGCTGCTGCTATTAAGTGACAGTGTTTCATGATGTAAATATTTCTTGTTTTAGGAAAAAGAATAATCAAGCAGAAGTAGATTTTAAGGGAGCACTTTTTCACAGCTTAAAATGTCTTCATCAGCTGCCACTGACATTGAAATAGACAGTAGTCTGAAAGGGCTTTCTGATGCAGAAAAATATCTCAATTGAAAAAAAAAAAGGAGGAGAGATGAAACAGCCAATCTCATGAAAATGAGATTTTGGAAATGCATACTAAGCCAACCTATTAGTGCAGTAAGTGGAAAAGAAAAACATGAACTGGTGGACAGAGAGAGGGAGCTGGCTTGGTAACATTTCCAGTTGCTCTATTTGTTCATAAACAAGACCTCTCATTCTCTTTGTACTTTTCTGTAACCCAGTATCTGAAGGGGTTTTGGTGTGTGCTGATCATCTAACAGGAAAACTTGTTATTTAAATAGAGACCTGTTTGAGAAGGTAAAACCATAGTGGCAAATAGTGGATTTAAACTTTCTGTAACAGAACTTGAACATTCTGAACAGAATGTGAACTTCAGAAGGATTTTTTTTATTTTTAAGATACTATTTTTAAGTACTCCTACAGAGATTATGGATAATTTCAGTCTGGGTTTTCCTGTGATTAATTTATTTTGATTCTTGCAGTTTAAGTTTCCTGTCTCATATTAATTCCATGCCTAAATCAATATTTTGGAATAATTTCAGTACAGCACCAAAGATGCAAGAGCAAGTAACATACTAATTTTGTTATAGTTAGCATTGAATATTTATAATATAATCTTCCTTACTGGAATCACTGTGAGGTTTTTATGGATTTTTCAATGATCAGTTTCCTTTTAAGAAAGACTTCTTATGAAGTGGTTGTCTTCAGTTATTCAACAGTCTAGACATGCATTGTACACTTCGTAGAATAATAACAGGAAGTAGTGGACATGGATTCATCTGTTCCTTTTTTAAATCATAATCAAAGATTTGGGATTTTTTTCCCTGTAAGCAGTCTATGCTTAAATACTTAGATTAGTTTCATTTTAGGTCACTTACCTTATTTTCCCTTAATTTCTTTTTTCATTCAGGCTTCATTCATAAACCACATGTGCAGTGCAAAAAGAAGTTCATATGTGAACTTTGAAACTAACAGCAGCACCGTACCACTCTGAGACTGTTACGTACACATTAATCTGGTTAATTTATTACTGATAGCTCCTCATTCAATTGCATATGTTTGGTCAGGAATTGGCAGGGTTGAATTTTTGTAACTTAGCTGCAAATATGGTTTTTGAAGTCACTTAAGTGATTGCATGACATTGATATTTTTAAAAGTAAATTCCATCAATGGTTAAACATGCAAATGATAAACATAGTAGTGGGATTCCTTTGTATTGCATGTTCTTGAATGTGCCTTCATATATGCATGTGAATAGCAAATGCACTCTCTTATTATTGCAATGAATTATTAATTGCATTATTTTCATAGCACAGTGTAAATCATTTGCAGATATAAAGATGTTTGCTTAACAAAGATGGATTAAAATAATAACATCTATATCAAAATACAGAAATTATTTGTGAACCAGGAAGAAAACTAAAGACTTCTTGCAGAACTGCCAATCATGTGCATTAGCTATTGGCTGTTAACATAATAATTTTTCTTGCAAGCATCATTATTTGCCATGCTATAGTAGCATACAAACCAGAGACAGAAGATTGTGCAGAAAGGACCTGTCACTTACTTTTTTCCAGTTTTCCACAAGTGGGAAAGTAACTGATTAGAATATAAATGCAAATTTGTGCTTCAACAACCAGGTTGTAGTTTTAGAATGGGAGAGTGGATGAGCCTGTCCAGTCTGTTCACAAGGATCAGGCATCTCTCTGTAAATCCCAGGGGTGCAGGCACAAGTTTACTCCAAGGGTATTAAGATAGTTGTCAGTAAGAATAATGGTATGTAATAAACTAATCTGGTATGTGAGCTGTATATGGTGGCAGGAAAAGAGGAATGTGCTCTCTGGAGCCCAGTCCTGCTGGAGACGTCCTCCGAGGTGTAGCCCCATGTGGGAGCTTGTAAAGGCTGATTTACCCCAGAACCAGGGCTGTTCCTGCCAGCCACAGTAGTGAAGGGGGCTGCAGTTCCTCTAGAAGCTCGCTGTGTCCTGCTGTGGAGCCACGAGCACAGGCAGTGCTCTGGCAGAAGGTAGGAGCTCCTCGTGTGAAGTCACATCCTTCCTCATCAGTGAGTTCCTTCTTTGGGTTACTCGGCTGAAGGTGGCCATGTAAAAACTGTTACTGAATGTTTTTAAGAGCATACAGACAAGTGTTCTTGGGCCTGCCTCTTCTTGTGAGAAGTCAGACATGAAAGCTGTCCCTGTACTGTGTGTGTACCTGAGGTAATTTCTCATAGTTCCCACTGCATTAGAGCTCTGTGCTGTGCATGCCCTTTGTGTCTCAAGGCATATTTATATATAAAGCTTATGGCAAGGTCCTTCACGTGCTGGTGAGTACAAACTCAAAGAAGACTGGATGAGGAGTCACTCAATTGCCAAGCAGGAAGATAGGTAAGTCTCATAGAACTATGGATCTTGACTGCTTAAATTGCCAGTCTAGATCTGTGTTTTATATTGGACTGCTCCTTTGCACATTAATGCCCCTTATAACATCTGAGGTCATATATGGCCTAGCAGTCACATCCAACTAGATAATTTAAGCTGGCATGGACAAGGATTTAGACTACCAAAAAAACTAGAATACAAGAAGCAGGGTAGTGTTGTATGCAAAACACAGTTTGCCCAGCTGGATGCAGAACAGGGCTTTTATAATGGCAAGATGGCTATAAAATTGAGTGGTGTAAAAGAGGCACTCCCTGAATGAGCTCTAAAACTTGGCTAAATTTAAAAAAAAAAAATTCAATATTATTGTGAATGGAATACAATCCAAGTTGCAACACATCTGGAAGGTCTTACAACTGCATGGGCAGAGGATTTTAAAAAGTTGTCTTCTTGGGAGGATATGACAGGGAAAAATCAAATTGATTTACATGACACTTGCATGGGCTCCTGAAACATGGAAAAGGTTCTCCCCAAGGTGGCAGTATCAGCCTGCTCCACAGGTACTGTAAAAGTCAGCTGGGGTCCCCTTGCTCTGCAGTCCTATGCTGAAATAAAATACCAGATCAGAAATTAGCTACAGTCTTAGAAAACACAGGATCATTACAGGACACAATCTCTCAAGATAAGAAATGTAAAAAGCATTTTTCTCCCTTATGTCAGGAGAAACATTTAAATTTACATATAAAATACAAACAGTAGCACCTTAATTAATGAATTTGAACATCAGTAATGGAAAGGTAGCAGTTAAGAAACAGAAGAGTTATTCACTGTTCCTTACATGACTCTTGAAAATCGAGATCTTTTGTTTTCATTAGCTTTTAAGTTGAGTCAGTGACAATCATTATGAGGCTTTAGATATAAGATCTTAAAATCTACTGCTAGAACATCATCTTGCACAGAGTACAATAAAGTTGCCTAGGATGCTTTTTAGCACTGCTTGTTTCCAGTGGCTGACCTATCTTTTTGTTTGCTTAGTTTTTGTATTTCTTTATTTTTGAAATGGCAAAGAGAAAATCAAAACTGTGGCTATTACAGATTCGCAGGCAGACAGGGTTCTTGCAACTGATAAAGGAAGCCTAGTACCAAGTAAGTCTAGTGAGGAATTTTCAGGAATCTAAGGAAGTAAAATCCTTAATCTAATTGAACATAAGGATCATTTGTGTATCTAGAATCTTTATTTGTCTTTGAAGAAAACAAGGCTAAAATACTTTGCAAGTAGGCAGTAACTAGAGTTGCATTTTAGTCACATTAGTGTGTCAGCTGCTGTTCTGTTGTAGTCCCTCTGATCATCCAGTTGGTTTGCACACACCCTAAACAAGCTGTCCATGATGCTTGTTAGGGTATACCAAGCAGGCTAGATCTTGTGAAACTGAGAGAGCAGTTTCTCTTTAGGCACATGGTATCTCTTACCATGTGTCATCTTTCAGTTCCCACGCCTTCCCATCCCTTACAGCTTCTTTCCTGATGTGGGCTCTCATTTTAGTCCAAGATGATGCCATAATAAGTAATTTAAGATGTGCTTTGATGAATTTCTCTTACTTAGAGGAAACCCAGTGAGGCCATTTTATGGATTGCCACACACAAAGACAGGCTTTTAGCCTGCCCAAACAACATGAGAAATCCAGGAAGGTATGCAGTCCACATAGTCAGTGTGGCTTCAGTTCTGTTAGATGTCTAAATTCTAAGAAACAGCAGGCACGTCACTACTAAGAGAGAAATAGGACAGATTTAGTGGTGTTCTTTTGGACTTTGTTCACATAAAAATCTTCTGATTCCAAAGGAAGACACATACAAATTACACTAAAGGTTCCTTAAAGCGGATGGTTGTTTTTACCTTGCTTAATGCAGTCCTTAGTATCCATAGTATTTTTAAACATAAGTAATTAATTACTTATGTCTACAGCAGTCTACAAGATCATGTTTCTTTTTGCAATATAAGTGGCTATCTAGGTTGTGTGCCACTATATTGGCCTTGCTAAAGGGAAAGGAGGTGGAATGTACCTGCAGACTAAAGTTGAAATTGCACCAGCTTTTGGGTGCTGTCTGTTGGTACAACTGTGGAAGCAGCTCCTCAAGTTCCCACTGTAAGAAGTGTAAGATTATGGGTTCAGGACAAATGCTGCTGGCAGAAAGGCAGATCAAGGTCTCGCTTTGTATTTGAAAAAAAACCAACATAACTATCAGAGAAGGGAAAAAATATCAGTTGGACTTCTTCCCCCCACCGCCCCCTTTATTCTCCAAAAGAATCACTAAAATCCAGAAGATTTCTTTGTCTTTCTGTTGCAAATAATAGGCAACTTCAGATTAGAAAGCTGCGTATTTGACATGCTCATCTGGTAAAACTCTGCTGTGGAAGTAGTGCAGGAATTCCTTGCATTGGCAGGAATGATAATCCTCTAAGCACTTTGCTTCTCTATGTGCTTAGAACAGCACTGTAACAAGCCACAGGAACAGAGTCTCTTCTTGTTAGTATGGTTTGGTGTGACATGGCTGTTCAAAATGTGGGGGAATGCAATGTGAAGTAGGATGTGTCACTTACTGCTGCAGGCTGCCAGCTTCTTAATTCTCTTAACTGCCCCCACCTTCTCCATCATTTAAGTCATGACTTCCCCATAGCACCATATCAATTTTTTTTTAATATGCAAGGAATATTTTTAAAACACCATATTGTGCTATTCTGTCTCTAGATCAGGTTACTTAGAGATATTTCAACTACTTTGCTTTCACCTGTGTTGCCACAAAATGCTTTCCACAATATCAAGGTTGGACATAAGTGCACAGGTCTGGCTATAAGACTGTGCCACAAGACAGGTGTGTTTGTGTCTGTTCACAGCTTCGTGTGAAAAATGGAAAACAGGCGAAGAAACTAAGGTGATATTGCAAGGATATAATATAAATAATATTTAAGAGCAACAATAAAATCACCACCAACAAAACAAATTAATAAACTGTTAATTTCAAAGGCACATATTTGGGAAAGGAGCAATAATCAGAAAGAATAAAAATACAGATTTAAGAATGCTTTTTCTTCTTTTTCCCTTATACATACTTAGTTGGATTCAATCTGTGACTTGCCTCATACATCTGTTGGGAGCACATGAGTCAGGATACCAGACTCATTCACTTTCTTGGGCTTAGCCTCAAAATGTGTCCATGTGTAAAAGAATTTTGCCCCTGAGACAAAAGTCCTGTGAACAGTGAACATATTTGGAAGCTCAGGAAAACCAGATCTGGCTGTTATTTCTATAACACTCATTCCCTAATTCTGAGAAGCTGCACAGTTTCTCAGTTTCCTCATCTCAATAATACAGAGAGTATCCACGTCTTTTGAAAATGGTAGTGGGAGTGATTTAGCTGATGGGAACAGATTTCTGTACAGCAATAACAGCATTTCTTACATTAAAAAGAAAAAATAAAGTGTTTTTATCATATTGTACAATTCTCTGTAGGGAATGAAGACATACTTTCTAAAAATATTCTCATGATGCCTGGAAAGGCTATAATAATTGTAACACGA